GCATTGAAAATATTACAGTCCTACCACTACCCCACCACATTATCAGCTCTAAACTAACACAAGAGCATCAGATAAGCTTCAGCCCTACCACGCTTATTATTCTCACTATTTGTTCTGTCAGAAAACATCACTCCAGTGGGATTATAAAAATCATTGTTCAAATCAGTTAAGCACAGGAGAACACTAGGGAAATCTGAAAGGTTGGCTGGCTGCAGTATCCCCTAGGCTTGCCTTGCTTTTACATTCTTGACTTCCAGATCCTGCTCACTGTTGCAGATAGAATATTAGATTATTAGAATATTAGACTGACACAGTATAGCTTTTCCTATAGTATAGTTTTCCAAACTTAAACTACAGCTTTCCTGGGGTCCCTTATTATTTTGTATTGTTACTCATCTAAAACATTGGCCATGGAAAATTGCACCCTGTGTAACCACTAACAGACTCAGAATTAAGCACATGTCGAATGCGGTGGAAAGACTTTACACATCAACCCTAAATAAATACAAGTTCCCTGTTCTGCATCCTCTGAAAAGCTGTTAACTGGGAGACAAGAAATAACGAGGAGCACCTACTGGCTACCAAATCAGGGCATCGGCGACATATTGGGAGCTATAGCATAGAAATCTGAACTTCCAACGTTTGATCAAAGGTTGAATAAATTACAGGCAACGAGGAGATTCCAAAGCAAACAACTGCCCCGAAGCCAGATGGCTCCAGAAGGAAGCAAACGTCACGATTAGTGACCTGGAGCAAAAGTATGAAGAACATTAAAGTCTGCTCGTCATACTGCATCCATCACAGTTCTGAACACCAAGGCAGGAAAAAAAAAATATATGCAGAGGATACCGAGGGATGAGACAAACCATCAGAAAGCTATGATGTAAGAGTCAATTTTGAAAAACGCAAGCTCATTCATATACATATGGAAGACACCTGGAAACCGGCAATTTAAGAGAAGCCTAAGGGGTGAGGGTGGACAGAAGCACATGTTTTGGAGGGAAAAAAGGGCCTGTGTGGTTTCAGGTAGAGCATTTAGGAACAGAGATCCAGAGGAAGGGCTCTCAGAATTATGTGGTCAGACATTGATGTGTAAGCTGTAGACAGCGAAGACCCCCCCCCCCCCATTTTTTTCTTTTTCCCTCAAAGCTGCACCTTGCTCTCAGGGAACCCAGCCATGGCCCAGGCAGCTCTATCACAGCACCACCTTGAAGCAAGCATTAAAATAACACTCACAGCCAATCAAGAATAATTAGACACAGAGAAATACTAGAATTTCAAATGAGAGAAACACTAGTGGTAGTGCGGCTGCCAAACATTGATTAACGGAGCAAATAAAATAGCTGTAACATGGGATTTAAGAACAGGCTGCCAGTCTAGAACTTGGGGGGAGAGGGATTTAAGTGGTATAATTAGAAAAAGCAAAGCAAGATTTTGCATATTTAAGCCACTGTAAGATATCTCCTGATGCACGCCATTCACAGGGCATAGTTCTAGCAGGCTGTGGAAGATTGTCTTCATGAAAGCAAGGGAAAACCAGCAACGCTCACAACCGTAAAATACACTGAGCATTAGCCAGCTGGTAGTCACAAAGCTGTGAAAACAGCATGTTCTGTTTGCAAACAGCTGCAGAGCCAAATCCCACTTTGAGCTTCCCCTTTGAGAAGAAAAGGCTGCCCAGTGACTTGGCAGCTCACCTGGGATTTGGGGTCAGTTCCCAGCTCTGCCACGGACAGCACGTGAACCTCTGAGTGAGTCACGTCATCTGCCTGGGCCTCAGTCTTGCATGCATGAAGCTAGGATAACAACCCTGTCAGACCTCCAGGGACTGTTGAGAGGTTGACTGTGTTCAGCATTATGGGGCGGTCAGAGAGTAATAGGGGCTGCATATCGCTGGGAGACCTGGAAAAGTTCACTCTAGGCTGCAAAGACCATATATGCTCCTCCTGTGCCTGCTTGGTACAGCTCTGTACAGCTGTAACCAAAGACGAGTGTGCTTGTGCCCTCTTGAATAAATCTGTTCGGTAGGGTGGAGTCTGCCTTATTTTTACACTACATGCAAATTATATCCCTCAACAACCTCACTGCAAATATTTTCTGGTTTCTCACACCCTGCCCTGCACAGGAGCAGGCTGTTTTCACTGCAGATCTTCTGGCTTTGTTTAGAGCTTTGGGTTTGGGGTATTTTGAATGTAAAGAAGCAAGAGAAGCTTGTGAGACAGAGCGAGTCGCAAAAAAAAAACAACCAGAGAGTCAAGCTGAGAAAAAAGGCAGGAGAAGCTGTTCTGCTAAACCCTGCGCCGTGAGTTGCTGCAGCACGAGCTACCACAGCCTCCTACCTCACCACCTCCTCCGAGAGAAAAAATGAACCTCCACGCTTGAGATCTGATATCCTCATCCCCCCTCCTCCAGCTCAGACCTGGCAATGCAGTCTTACCTGTTTGTCAGTGGCAGCAAGGCAAAGAAGAACAAGCCAGCAGCCTGCTGAGACGGACATGTCTGGGTGTCCGTCTCTGCCTCCTCTTGTTGCTCCTTTTCCTGCCACTGAACAGAAACTAGATCCTTCCAACCAAGTCCCCAAGCCCCAGCAACACAGTGAGGCACATTTGAGCTAGTTACTTCTCTTTCTTCCTTTCCTTCCTCTCAGCTACACGAGGGGAGAAGAGAGAAGAAGAAGAAGAAGAAGAAGAAAAAAAAAAGAGCCTGGCTGTAGTTCCCACAGCATTTCCTCAGACTTGACATGCAGGTTTTTTTCCCCCTCTTCTTGTCCCTCCCTTTCCTTTCTCCACCCCCTTTTACAAGAAGTTTAGTCACTATACCCATGTTCCTCCTCCTACCGATGGGCATTGCTTTCCCTGCCCTTCTCCTGCCCTCCAGGGCCATCCACCTGCCTTCCACCCCGTGTGTCCACCCTTGTCCAGCCCTGCCCTCCTCTAATCCTCGTGCTTCCTGCGAGACATGCCTTCACCTTACCTTGCTTTCTGGCCTCCCCCTTTCCCATCTCTCTTTCCAGAGGACAGAGAGGTGGAAAGAGGTGCTCTGGGGGCACCCCTAAAACACCCTGTGCCGTGCACGGGGTCAGTCCCTGAGACCTGACTCGAGCTAGTGCAAAGCAGCCCCCCATTCCCCAAAACGCTCACATTGAGGACCTGATACCCTCAGCAGCAACAGCCTAGCTCTGCACAGGAGCCGCCGCTCCAGCTGGCAGCGCACCGTGCAAACCTGCACGCAGCCCGCAATGCCCCTTGTCTGCTGGAGACGGTGGGTCTCATTCCCAGAGAGGCAGTGGAGCAGAGCACCATACGGGAGCTTCAGTGGAAAGGCACTGATTTACCCTGGCTGAGGATCTGAGAGCTAACTGCGCTGTTGTGACACCTTCTCCGTCTCCCTGTGCTTACGTGCCACACTGAAATAGGTCAGGAGTATGTGTCTGACTTGAATGAATAAGGAAGTTGTTCTTTCACTTGTGCATTTAGATTTAACCCTTGACCAGAAAAAAGTTGTTTATAAGTTATCCTATGCTTGTAAATAAATAAATAAAACCAAACACACGAAATCAAAGGGGATGAAAAGCATTCTTTACCTGCGCTGTTGTGCTCTGTTTTCTGCTCAGAAGAGGGATCCTTAGAGCCAGTGAGAATTCAGGATAGAAAGAGCCACTGGATTTCTCTCTCTCTTCCAGTTAATGGGGACGGCTTGTCTAAGCACCAAAATAAAGCTCTGATCTTCACTTCTACGTAAGATCTGGAGTTCACAAAATCATTCCTTCTTAACTGCCCTAAAGTTCCTTTTCAACGCTTAATGCTCTCGATGTCCTCTGTAAGCTTTCAACCCTGCCCAATTTAAGCTCGGCAGGTCTCAGTGCCCATGTTTCCATGCCTGGTCTCCAGTGCGGAGGTTTTTTAGTGAGCCAAAGAGCCCTCTCTAATCACAGAGCCCTGTTGACCTGCCCAAAGAGTCAGGGTCTCTCACTGAACTTAGGCTGGATAGACTACAGGAGCTCTAACGTAGGGCAGAAATAGAGATAGGGGCTGGGGGGAGGCCAAGGCACTGAGCTTGCACAGGGGACAGCATGCACAAAGCTTATTTCACTAGAAGCTTTATAAAGTAACGCATTAAACACTGGTAACGTGTGTGCCTGCCTGCTGAGCGCGGTGCATAATGGTCTGTGCTGGAGGGAGCCCGGCAGAACGGCGCGGGAGCGTCCGACGTCCTCCCTGGGCTGAAAACTCTCGGTCATGCGCTAGCACGGGTGTTTTAAAACATTCATATTTAAGGTACAAGGAAATGTTTCTTTTTAAACAGAACAGTCTGTTAAGTCTCTTCCCCTTTTTGCATTTAACACAATACCAAGACTATAAGCAGTGTTTGTTTACCAGCTGCTGATTCTAACCACAGATTCATAGGAGCAAATGCAACATCATAAGCATTTAGCCAAGTTATTGTCTCTATCTCAGAAGGTGTTGAATGAGACCAATTGTTATTCAGTTCAGAGGAGCTCCAGACAGTTCAGTATTGCAAATTAGCTCGATTATTTCTGCATTCTGGCTCTTAATTGCGTCTGAGGCACTCATTCTTCAGGCTGAAATTTCTCTCATCTTATCCCGCTATGTGAAAATAGCCTGTTTTTGAAAGCTCAGTCATTTTCTTCTGAGTTAAATTTTAAGTTTTTGAGCCAAAACCCACAGAAGCCACTACTGGGTGCTTTATAGTCTTAATTACGTATTGCAGCAGATTGTCTGAAACTGAAACACGAACGCTTGAAAATATGAACAAAGGGAATGTATAGAAAAGAACTGCTATTTTTCACATACATTTTTCTATGTAGTGCTAAAAAATGCTTTTATAGCTTTTTCTATTATAGAAAAAATAAAATATTTCTACTATTTTGAATAGTATAAATGAAGTATAATAATATAGTACAATGAAGAGAGATGAAAAACCATGTGCACCCTTATAGATGCAACAGAATCAAAATATTTCATTTAACACGAGGATACCTTTCTTTGTGGAAAATAAACTGTGCGAACATTTGATAACTTAGCAGTTCTATGGTCAGCATGGATCTCTTCACCTTCTTCCTAGAGAGGAAAGCAGAAATTGTAGATTAAAATAATATTTTAAAAGCAGTAGAGCAATATACTACTACAAGCTTTGTAACTGTCTGAAACCACTTCACCATCAGTATAAAAATACACCAGGAGCTTTGGTAAACAGTGACTAACTCCCAGACAAACAATGAATTTTCTGCCTGTCTTTTAAAAACGTTCAACCCAAAAAGCAAAGACAAAAACCAGTTTGGTGGACAGAACAATCCCCTGGGAATCTGAACAGCACCTGTGGGCTCACATACATCCCCCTCTTCCTCCCCCCGCCCCCACCAGATATCCCATCACTTTAATTATACCACTAAATTCCCATGCCCCTTACCTGCATGAGAAGGATAGAAGGATTTGGGAGTTTGGTTTTGGCACGCTTTCTGTCATGTGTGGCTTTTACATCTTTTGTGTTTCAGCAAAACACAAGGGCACAGGTTTGTGTCACAGGATGCCTTTTTCCATCGTGCAGAAACACCGTGAAGGCATTTTGATTCCTCTGCTTCCCACCCGCTGTGAAGGGACGGCAGCATGAGATGAGGGGTTGTACCAGATCTAGATCAATGCATTTCTTGCACTATGTGGAGCAAAGACTGGTTGGGATTTGGGACTCCGAGCTAAAGTACAGCCTTTGTAAACACAAACACCCGTCTCTCAGCTGCGATGGGTGAGTGAGAAAGCCTGAGTTTGTGCAAAGTTAGAGCTCTAGGAAAGAGCCCTGTAAATCAGGGGCCACCTTGGAGGGGAATCACAGTGCAGCTTCTCCTGTACGGTCTGCCATGGGGCCAGGGAGAGAGGCTGCCCCATGCTGCCTCAGGATCCACCGTAGAGGGAAGTCCCCGCTACGTTATCCAATATATGGAGCTTCGTATGCTGGGTTAAAGAAAAAAAAAGTCAGAAAAATGTCTGCATACGTTTAGCACAGGGGCTCCAATTTCAGTTGACGTCTTCAGTTATTAAAATAAATGCAATAAAAAAAAATCTATTATTTACCTAAACAAATTCATACACAAAAACACATAATTAACTTGAAACTGGTTTTTCTTCCTGTGAAATGCACATTTCCATAGCAGACTATTGCCCAATCTCCTTGCTATTTTCAAGTGTGCACACTATTTTTTCATGACAGAGCAACTATAACCAAGCTTGAAAGTAACACTTGGTGCAGTTTACACAGAACATACTTTTGACAAGCCCACAAAAATGTATCAGTGTTAAATGCCTGTCAAAAAACTGAAGCTTGCAGCATTCAAAATAAAAAAAGCTCACCACCAACAGCCACTAGCGTGCAGAACATCTGAAGGGCGTACAAGCATGCACTGAGTTGATAGGTTATCACCAACCACTGTGGCAATAACAATAACTGCATACTTCTGGAAGGAAATACAAACTCGTGGTGAATTTTTAACTTCGAACATTTGTTCACGCTTGTCAGAGATACCAGCCTGATGACCTCAGAGACAGGAGTCACCTATTCATCCTCAGGACACGAGCAGCACTGACGTGAGCCAGGGAGCTCTCCTTGCACTGCCCTGAAAACACCTCCACCTCTCGCCTGACCAGACACGTGTCTTCGAGGCTGGCAACCTCCCCCTGCAAAGGGAGCCGAGACCCTGACTTTGTTCAGACACAGCACCACACCTGCTCCCTAGAGTTATCCAGTCACTTTATCTAACAGCATACTAAAACTATGGCGAACTTTGAATTCACCTGAATAGTAAGATGACTCATATTCAGATCAATAGCATGCATTCATTCTCCAGCAAAGGCTCAAGTTCAAATGAAATCTTATTGTCTATTAAGAACTACAGCCGCTTCTTCCCTTTTCCCATTTCCTAATCCCCTTGCCAGCATATTTACAGCAAAAGAGCAACAGGCTCGGCCCATCAGCGTCCAGCACTCTGCAAGGAGCACAGGTTGTTACAACTGCCGTGATACCGGCAGGAACACCTCGTACTGCCTCCCACTCCGCCACCACCCAAGCTAAAGACATTTCTGAGCTGTTGGGAGTAGGAAAATTCTCCATTAAAATGAAGGACAAAGAGCAGCAGTACAAGCAGGGAGGTTGGACTAGATGATCTCCAGAGGTCCCTTCCAACCTAAACGATTCTGCGATTCTGTGAAGCCCACCATCAAAATAATTTTTGGAAAGCTAACACTCAAATACACGGCCAACAGCCTTGTTTGGACGCACAAAGTATTCGAATGGCAGAATAAGAAGGTATCTGCCTATAGCAGACGGAAATTGCTGAGGGTGTTATCCTAGGGACTCTGACATTGCTGTTTGCCCGGGGGCTGAGGGCACTGGAAATGGGGCGAGTGCGCAGGGACCCAGCAGGCAGCACATGCAATACAACTACTAGGAAAGGAACAAGGCAGATGACTACCATGGTGTTGGCCCCTTACCACAACGTGCAAGTCATCTTTTCAAGGCACTGATTTCTACAACAGAACTTCTCGTTCTAGAAGTTTCTGGAAACTAGTCATCTTCATTCTAAGGAAGCCGTTCACTGCACTGGAAGTATGATACTCACAAGTTCATGCCTAGATGTCTCCAAGGAAGCAGGCTGCTTACCACTGACTTGTGTGTCTTCTACAAACGCTATAAGCAATATCAACTTTTCTTACAGCTTGTCTGTCACACTGAGACGCAACGAACCTAAAGGCAGAACGCTTTAGACACAACTTTTTTAGATAGCGATTACTCATTCACAGTTGCTTGCTGAGGTTAGATAGCACATGATATATTAACATACAGTACTAAAACCCAGGACCTGATTAGCCAATGACAGCACACCACCTCGCCTTTCTTCAACAATCTCACTGTCTAAAACAAAATAGCTATTCTTATCTTTTACCTGATCTGAATGTGTTTGCTGGAAACGTATCCTAATGCACTCAGTACCCAGTTTCCTTAAACTGCTGTCGCCTGGCACTATACTGTGATCCTGTAACGCACCAGCATTTGCATCTATGCAAGCGAGTCCATGATCCTAGCCAGAATCACTGCCATGCCAATCAGCCAATTACACTGGCATATTAATAATCTTCCACCCGTTGAAGCACTGCTGATAGTCTGAGGTTTGCTTAAATGTCAGAGAGTTTTACAGTGACAGTTATTCAAAACATTTTGACTGCAAGATACCCACTTTTGTAAACTGTACCAAGATATAAATAGAGCCGCTAATCATACCAGTTACTCCCAGAATATAAAATCCCATTATCATTGTCACAATACAGAGAACAGAAATATCAAACACTTCCACTTTTTCCACACCCTTTTAAATTATTTTATCACCCATTTGCAGCAATGAACCTAGGGGTTTTATTTTTCCTCCATGCATTACCAAAAAATCTTCCTCGTTCTTCGCAACAGATTCTGCATAGATATTTTTTAATCTTTCAATCTTAAAAGGTTTTAATTTTGTCATTAATGTCAGTTTCCTCATTTTCTCTAGCCATGAATCCATTCAAATACTGCTTTCACTTCCCCTCACCAGAATACAGTTTACCTACAGCAGCAGCAAATTTTTTCTCTTCTTGATGGGGAGGGGAAAGAGAAAGAGGAAAAAAGAATATGCAGGGTTTTTTTTTTTGTTTTTGTTTTGGAAGAGTACCTTATATTCATATAGATTAGAACATAGAAAAAAGTTGTCTTATTTACAGTTTTAGAAACTGATCTCTTTCAAAACAACAAACATACATCAAAACCAAAAGGAACCTCTTGCCATCTTCCTGCAGATCTGTTCACATTTGGTAAAGTAATAAAACTTTTAAAAGTCACTTGCAACCAAGATATACTAACAAACAGAGACCTGGATTTTAGGAGGTGAAATTCCTGAAGACTGCCTGAACAAGGTTTGTTGCCCCTGCAGAATTTTCTCAGCTTAGTAGTTATGATGAGCAGAAGCGCTGGCCTTCCTTGGGTTCTTAGTCCAGTCCCTCCTTGGATCAACCACTATGAAGGAAGATGCTGCTATCAAAAGCTAAACGTTGCAAGAGACTGAAGAGACTAGGACTGGCTAGAGAAAAACACTACATTTGTACTGATAAACTGAAGACAGTCTCATCCCACAATCATCCACAGTTAAACTGCCATTGCAGTTTTTTGGCTTGTGCTAATTGGCAATTTCCCACACCCAGGTCATGGGTTAGTGCAGGCCAGGAACCATTTTCACAGGCATGCTGAACACAGCTGCCCTGCTTTGGAAAGCAGGAGTTTAGCCATAAAAAAAAAAAGCCATTTTGCACCATTTGGTCTCAGGCCTACAGAGCTGCCTCTGGCACTGGTATCTACTGGCAGAGATATAGCTGATAGGACGCATGTCCCTGGAGAGGAGGAGACCCCGGATGAAAGTGACAGCAAAACAGTATGACTAGAAGCTGGAGTGAAACATGCACATGGAGGTAGGAAATCAAGTAAACAAACCTGGTGTCTGCTGTGTAAGAAAAAGTTACAGCTAACGAATTTGTGTGTCACACTTCTCTCCCGTAACACCTGTTTTGCTGCAATAATTTTTTTTTGGAAAGGACTAGAAGTAATAAGACAAGACAGGTATACAAAACTTTTTATTGACAATAGAACAATAGAGAGGAAAGTCACCACTTCCCATTCCTCAGGAACGTCTCCATTTCACAGTCAGTCTGCCAAAAGTATAGTCACTTCATGGTAACAAGCAACCAGAAGGTATGGAACAGTCTGTCATCTCGAGAAACGTACTTCAGTGCCGTGTAAAGGGGCTGATAGTGTGTGAGTGTGCAGCAGGCCCTCTCACAACATGAATGTGACAGGCAACTGTATATGCACAGCCAATAGGCAAACACACAAAGCAATTAGCAGCTTCAAATTATATCCGTTAGTTCTGCTTAAAGGGAAACACCTGAAGTGCTACTACCCACCTTCTGTTTCAGAAGTTTATTCTTTCCTCCCTCACTCCTTTTGCTTTCCCTATCCTTAAAGATGTTAGTACTTCCAATTGAACAGTACTGTTTCAGATAATTCCTGGCCTTTCACATTTTACCACCTGTTACTAGTTTATGCCTGCACTTGAATTTACTTTCAGAAGTCTATATTGACAAAAAGAAAGAAAAGCGTTCCCTAAGAATAACAGGATTGGCTTGTTAATACTTCCTTGCTAACAAAAATACTCAGTATTTGTTGAAGATAATCTTTGTAAAGTTGTTTTTATAAAGTAGGTGGGCAGTCTACTTAACATCTTAAAGAAAATGCAAACTCTATTAATATATCTTCAAATCTTCTGAAATGAAATTTGAACTGGGATTCGTTTTAAACAACAGTAAAACCTCTTAATTTTACCTTTCACAGTACAGAGTTGAACAACACATGCAGGGTGAAACCGCTTTCTCTTGCATAAGGTATCAGGACTCCTTTGCTGTAGCTTATACATATGTTAATGTTTATCTATTGATCCTCTGTTTGTCCGTTACTTAGTGGATGTACCTCAGAATATGCAGACTAGTTGTTAAAGTGCTTTAAAATAAAACAAAAACCCAACAAAAAATCCCTCAAAAACCACAACAGATGTGAAAATTTTATCTGAAGGATTTTGTACAGCATTTACAATGTAAGCATAAAGCATCTGAAAAATAAGCATTCTCTGCAGACTGGATGCAGTGCAAGCAGTCTCATACATTAGATGCTGCAATTCCTCTCGATTCAAGATGCACAATACTTACAAAAAGAATCCTAGAAGCACAGACAAATGCTGGTGGCTCTTCCTCCTCTTCTTAGAAACATAATAAAAAAATCTGCATTACTCTCTCATAAT